ATTCTCAGATATACCAAACAAAATAGACAGTGCTACGTAAGTTAGATTTAATCTTAAAGTTGTTAATGCCAGTGAATGAACATAACTCTTTGTCAGATTTCAAAAGATCTGAAATTGTTTGAATTTTTGGGGTATTCACTTGTACACTATTGTCAATACACTTTAAAACTGGCCTACTTTTTACTAACTGCAAAAGAGTATTTGCAACCTATATGTCTTGTTCGGTGTGAGTAGCTAGGCTATCTTGAAACAAATCACTCTCTACTAAGACTTGTTTTTCTTACTATCTCATTCACACACATTTGAACTTTCTTTAGTTTGGATCCTAATAGTCTTTCTGTTCTCTCAACATTTGAAATAGATGGAACTGGAATCATCAAAAACTAGCAGTTTTAAGGAAGGAACAGCAATTTTTTTTTAAATAATTCTTTTCTTTTGAGATGAGGCATCTGTAACACAAAAAAAAGTAAAATAAAAACATTAAATCGTAAAATAAATCTATATTACCTCTAGGAAAATAATCATCTGCTTTAAAATGCTGAGAACAAACTTTCAAATATTTTGATACTGGCTCCTTAATTTTTAACTTTTGTAGCCATGCATTTCTTGCATCCACAAGTTCAGACTTTCCACTTGAATTTTCTAAAATTACCCTATATTTACCAGCTTTAGGAAGCAGATAAAATTTAATAGAAGGGTCAGTTTTTTCCAGAGCTGCATTGAGGCACACAACAAATGTCTTTTCCACTTATATTCCACTTAACTATATTCCAAATAATATATTTTAAAAGGTATAATAAAAATTTAAATAAATAAGATACAATACTTGTTAAATTTTAAAACATTTATTAACATGACCTGATAAACAATAAACAAAACTTGACACTGACAGAACACCGATCGCCAAATGTCAAATGGTCATAACACTAGAAGGCGTATCGCTTATCTTCAGCATTGCAACTCTGTGTCATATTGCTTGCGACATGTAGCTTCGTATATTTCATTGCGACTTTCACTACCACACGTTGTTATTTTGGTACTCTGTGTCACCGTCGCAGTTACTTCGGCTATTTTCGAGAATATATTAGCCAATCCAAAAATATTGACTCTTATTTTTTTTTTCAATTGGTAACAATTTAGGTAAGTTCGCATTGTCATATTCTGCCTGAAAGGTGAATTGTGATTGGTTACTCGTTTTCTTAATATACAAAATTACCCAATTATAATACAAACATCGCAGAATTGAATTATATTGAAATGGCGCTTTAAGCTGTTATAAATATTGTGTTGTGATCATAATTTTAGGATTTATTTTGTTGTGTTAAAAAGTTATTTGTGAATTGATACTTGTTTTAGGATTGTTATTAGTGTTATATTTTAACATTTAATAGTGATGTTGCCAATAAATAATTTGAATGTGTTAATTGTTGAGGAAGAGGAAAGGCTAAGGCTTTTGAGAAACTTTAACGTTCGTAGGCGCTTACTGAGAGATGAAAGTGATCCCTTTGTCCAATTAACAGATTTTCAATTTAAAGGATTGTATCGTCTAACAAAAGATATACCCCGATATATTCTCAATGGAATTATGCAGAATATGTTATTACAAAATAATCCAGTGGCAGTTCCAATTGCATCAAAATTTTTTGGCACCCTCCAGTTTCTTGCCACTGGGAGCTACCAAAAGACTATAGGGCAAAATTTTCAGGTTGCAGCGTCTCAACAACATATGTCAAAGGCAATTTTTGAAGTAATTCAAGCCATAATTAACACTTATGTACATGATAAAATCAAATCAAAACTAGATTTATGGAAGCTACTAAATTTCCTGGAGTAATTGGAGCTGTTGATGGAACGCATGTTGCTATTATAAAACCAAATGAAGAAGAACATACTTATTTTAAAAGGAAGGGATACCATTCAAAAAATGTTCAAATTGTATGAGAAATTTATGCATTTTATAAGTATATATTTATAACTATTACTCTTTTTAGATATGTGACTATGATTTAACAATTTTAAGCATTAATGCAAGATTTGGTGGAGCAGCACATGATTCTTTTATCTGGTCGCAGTCAACCGTTCGGACTGAGCTTGTAGCATTTAGAATTTCATAGGTTAAATACTTTGATAATTATCAATTGAAATATTATTAAAAGAAAGTAATCTTAATAAACCTACCTTCTAGAAAATAGTTTATTCTTGGGTATATTGAGCTTCTGCCTTTTTGTTTGAAATATATAAATAATTATCATGTTTATTTAAATAGGTAATAGGTTAACATTCTCTGCCAATGTCCCCGAACTAAAACTAGTTCTGTGGTTAAAATGTGGAAATGTTCGTTTGTATATAATTTTGACATTTGGGGTGTCAGAATATTCTATGAGTTGGCTGAATGCTTCGAGAATCGATACCACCTTCATGGAACGACCGTACAATTTTTAGCAACCGTACAATTTTAGTGACGTGTTTTTAATTCTAGACATGTGATTGGTCAAAATTTTTAATCGAAGGTCAGAATGTTTGAGAAGTTGCCTCGTCTGTCAAATATGTCAAGTCAAAAATGTCATTTCAGTTAAGGTTTTTTTTTGTGATATGGATTATTATAAATGGCTAGTAGTAAAAAAGAGGGCCTTTTATTTCTGCCACTGTTCGTCTTGAAAGAAGTGATTTTCCATTTTCGGCCAGTGTTCGTCTTGATTAAGAAGGCCGTTGCCCCGTTTTAGGGGGATTATTTGCCTGTGTACGAGTAGAGCCTGTGGTTTAAGAAGGGTATTTTCATAACCGAAAAACCTTTAGTTAGGTGTTTTTTTGACTTCTTTTTTGAATTGTTACGTTCCCATGTGACCAGGTTTAAACGCAGTTATTTTAATAGATTCCTATCTGGTTTCCGTTTCAACTTGAAGTAGCGGTAGATGTAAAAAAGCAGAGAGTTTGCAGTCGTAGTCATTTCTAACCTCCAACCCTTTTTTTAAAGGCGAGTTGAATTTTTTTTACAAAAAAAATGTCTTTGTAAAGGTCTTGATTGAGACATTCGTTTCTTTTCGTGATAGGGTCCTAGGATACAGTTAAAGACTCCATGAGGAGGAGAGCTTCTAGTATGTGGCTCAGAAATTTTAAGACTAAGGACATGGCCTCGCCGGTTTTTTGGTCTATCCACGTCTTACAATTTATATCGGCCGCCATGCAGTAACACCCCAATTATCACCGCAATTGATGTCCAGGTCCAGAAGTAATCATATTTAGTTTCGTTTCATCCCCTGGGAACTGAAGAGTTGGTAATTTTTTTATTTTTAGAAAACTTATGTATTTTTAAACTTGACATAACATGCCTCAATATTAAGCGCTTATGTAACTTCAACATATAGGTGTACACCGAAAGTAACGTTACTGGAGGCCTATTTATATATCTTAATGGTATGGTTCAAACGGTTAATGTTTTTTGTTTAACCATGTCCACATGATCTAATTAGTTTTAAGTTTTTTTATGCTCTTTAGTGGGTTTTATTAAATATATTGTCACATTTTTATTAATAAGTATAATCTATTAAATTCACTATTCTATATCTAGAATTTTAAATGCCATAAGCAACTTGTTCATTATAGAAAGTCAACTCTACGTTCTTCTTGATATTAATTTTTTATTTTTATTTGGGTATAAACCTTGGACATTAAAATGTAAAATATGTAAATATTAACTACTTCATATTTCTTATTTTTTTATTTGTTGATGGTATAACTATTTCACAATTATTCTTTTATAATAAACTTACTTTTTTGAAAATTAATGTGTTTTATTTATGAGGTACTGGAATGCAAATTTTTCTAAACTCTTTTATTTAGGTTACTTCAAATTTTTCTTAGATAAACAGCCTTCTTAAAAACTTGGATTGGCGCTCATTATAAAAAAGGATTTAAATAATAATTTTTATTTTAAAATTCTTTAATCAAAAAGCCAGTCACCCATAGTGCCACCAGACGAACAGCTGCCGGAGCTGAGAACTATATTTTCTCTTCTAGAAAATATAGGGTACAAGCTAGAAAGATGCTTTATAGCAAGTAGGTTTATCTGATGCATATTATTACACCAAAACACCTTTTATTGTATTTCTTTTTAATTTTAATATTCATTAAATGTTTTTCTTGTAGGTGACCGAAATACTTGGTTGATAGGGGACTCTGGATATCCATTACAAGCATGGTTATTAACGCCAATACTTAATGCAGCCCCCGATACACCTGAGTTTAGGTATACAGAAAGGCACATGACGGCTCGTAATTGTGTAGAACGTTGCATTGGTGTACTAAAAGGAAGATTTAGGTGTTTACTTGTGGAGAGAAAATTAAGATATACCCCATCCAAGGTGGCTCAAATAATTCATTCATGTACCATTTTACACAACATTTGTACTGCTGCTGGTCTGGATATCGATTTTGATATTCCAAGAGAAGAAAATGATGGATATATTAATTATATTAGAAGAGAAGGAGATTTCCATCAAGAGGGCATGCTGAATCAAAGGACTATCATTAACAATTATTTCAGATAATTTTTAAATAAAAATAAAGTAATTGATATGTGAATTTTATTGTAACTAACAACTAATATACAAAATTTACCTTACATAACAAAAAAAAATAGAAAATTCCTAAATAAAAATATACATTAGAAAACAAAAAAAAAATATTTATTCATATTTGCTGCAATTATTTTTAGCGAATCCGCTATGCTCTCAATATTTGAATTAATATTGCAGAGCACGTTTAAGGTTTCCTTGTTCATTTCGAGTAGTTCATTTGAAATGCGCACATTTGAATTTTCTCTAACCCGTTTCCTTTTTAACGGAGTTGAAGAATCTATCAACCTTCTATCATAATCATGATCATTTTCTTGAGCATATTCTACCGTGTGTTTTTCTTGGGCATATTCTACCCCGTGTGTTTTTCTTGGGAATATTCTACAGTGTGTTTCTCTTCCTCACCTATCTCGCAGCCTAATTCAATTACTCCCCATCACCTTCTACGGCAAAATTACCCATTAAACTAAGAAGTCTCTTCTCATAATCTGTGAGGGGTAATGCCGTAGAAAGTCCACCTCCAGTTCCTTCTTGAGCCATTCTCAATTTTGCGGCTTTGGCTTTTGTTTTTGACTTCCAATCAGTCAAAGCCTAAAAAAATATTTTATATTAGGTAAATGTTAAAGAAAAGATCATACTAAAAACTTACCCTTCTCCATTCTGCTGTGGTTTTTTCCCCAAAGCCCAAATCATTTAATATATTTGCCAACGTTTGCCACATGGCGTGGCCTTTGGCTTTGCCAGCAATCCCATTAAATTTATTAGTTATTAATTCCGGAGTATTTTCGGCCATCGTTAATAATAAATCACATTGATCTGTTCTTACTTTCATCTTAAATAAAATAGTTTTATCTTTTATCGAATATCAATAAAATATGAGTCGAGAGTCGAGTCGTGAAACGTGATTATAAAATATAACCTCAATTCAATTCCCTTTCCTTTGATAATAATATAAGGATCTCTTTCTACCCCAAGACTCAAATTACAGAGCGTTATATATCTCTCTCTAATACGACACGTCTAAGGGTGTTGAATAGAAGCGACGTGTCAGCCAAGAATAAATTGACACAAAGCGACAAATGACACCTCGGCTCGTGTCGTTTCTAGGCGATTATTAATATCAACATGACACAGAGTTTACCTGCAGATCCCAATGAGTGATGTCCTCACTAATTGCTCAAAATAAATCTTTTGAATAGGAAATAACTTGTTTATAAAAAAATTAATCAGTTTTCAATAAAAGTACCATAAAGTCGTTGGATCATTTTATCGTTAAGAACAGTTTATTAAGGGTAGGCGGTAGGCGTCAATAAGAACCCCTTGAGTTTGATCGTAAATTCCAAATAATATTACTTTATAAGTATAATCTAACTAAATTAATTATTTAAAATGAGCATCGTATACAATTATACACTGGTCAACAAGCTACATTAAATAGAGTAAGACAATATTTTTAGCCAATTAATTGTAGGAGGGTAGTACGAAATGTTATTGCGAAATATACAGTATGTTTTAACTTGAATGAGTAAAACCAAATTTGGTAGATTTTCACAAAACTTTTATTTTAAAAAATTAAAATTAAAAATACTACACATGACATGTTTCGAAGTACAACTTCTTTTTCAAATTTGAAAATTTGAAAAAGAAGTAAAACTATGTGTCAAAAGAATTAAAGTAATTAAATATGACAATGCATCGTACAAAAAGATTGAGTTAATAAATTTTATTTCAAATGAGTTATCCAGTAGTAGCAGTAGTGACGAAAATGATATGGTAAATGTTTATTGTGGAAGAGAGAAGAAAAGAAAAATAGGTAATTTTATTGATATAATAAATCAAAATTCTGATGAATAATTTAGAAAAAACTTTCGTTTATCAAGATCGACTTACAATGTTCTTAAAGAAAAATTTAAAAAATCTGTTTTTTTTTTTTTTAATCGATAGATCTCATGGTGGGATACCAATCATACTGCCTGAATTACAAGTACTTTCTTCTTTGTGATATTCTGGCAATAAAAACACCATGAAAAACACCAGTCAAGAGATTTAAAATGGGAAAATCTACATTTCATGGAATTTTAAAAATTTTTATGAACTTGGACATTTTTGGCTATTATGGTAATAAAATTTCCCGATAGGTTGGAAGAAAAACTGCAACTGGTTAGGTTAGGTTCCACTCCTAGGAGCTGTAAGACCTTACCGTTGGTGGAGTGGTTCAGTAGCTCCCTGTTCTCGAGCCCTACGGGACGGGAATGGGTAGTGAAGACGACAAACAGCTCAAAAATGGTCGGTGGGGCACTGGTGGGGTCACTTACGCCGATAACGTGACACCAATAAATGCCAGTCTCAAGAACACTACTACGCCCAGCTAACAAAAGCAAACCGATAAGTCCGACCCAGATAGGGAGGGCGAATGGCGAGTTTCCGGCGCCATAAAACGGGGAGCATATTCGTATCAAGCGTGCATTATCGCAGGCTCGTCTTTTCCGAGTACCGCCGAATGCATCGACGTATCCAGAGCGCGAGAACGCATTATGCTAGATGTATCCAACGTTCGAAATTGCAATCATTAATTTTTGGCATTTGTCATGGTCTTATCTATTGAAGATGACCCTGATAATTTTATTCCGGCGGTGGATGTTTGTATAAATTCGTATAATAAATACGTTAAGTCAGAGTCAACGTTAATGTCAGCGTTACACAATGCTTACAAACCACGTACAAACACAAGTATTATTTCGACAAAAAAATATGCCGAAAAGGAAAAAAGATATCGGTTCAACCAACATTTTCAAGAAGAAAGGTTCATGCATGTGGACGTAGAAAAGTGCAAAGTGGACGAAAAGTTTCTTCTTTAGTTAAAAAGAAGGCGAAAGCACCCCACAATTTACTCCTGTGCGTGGAGAAAAATATACCTTTAGGAGAAAATAAGTTTTTAAAATAAGCAAATTGTGTATTTTCTTAAAAAAAAAACATTAAAATTACTTTGTTTATACTTGTAATAAAACTTTAAGGCGAATGGCTTTTGGATTATATGCCACATAAATTTAAAAATATTACATATCTTGTCAATATGTTGCGATATCAAACGCTGAGCACCACGCGAAAACCATGCACAATGCGTTCCCGCGCGCTGTATACCTGAACGGATTCGAGGGAACTCGGAAAAGGTGAGCCTGCGATACTGGACGCTTGATACGAATATGCAAACGGGGACCCTTTGGCTAAGGGAAGGAAAACCCCGACAGAAAACCAGGATGGAGCCGACCAGCCGGAAAAAAGCCGTAATCCAAGGTGGGAGCTATCGTGCCGATGGATGCACGGCCGCACGGACGCGGTCACGAGCGATGCCTCCGGGGACGTGGCGACCCCCCGGAGTAAGTAGCCTTACCTCTGCAAGCGGGGCTCTGCAGGGGTGGACCGACACTTCCCTAGCTACTCGTGGGATTATATATAGATGAACAATTTAAAAACTTGAATAACACAAATAACGAAGCACAAAAGAGTGCTGACCAAGAAAAAAAGAAAGAGAAGAAGAATTGGTGAAAGAGCATAGCAGGTCACCACCGAGAGAAAGGGTGGAAAGGAGGGATTCTTTTATAGAGATGGAAGGAGACATTAACTCTATTTTAATAGAATCCGACAAGGAAGAGTCAGAGGAAAGGGAATCCAAAAGAGAGTGGAAAGCCCGTACGCAAACGAGGAAAGGAAAGCACTTAGGGAAGCCTTGAAAAAAGTCGAAATGATCTCCGATAGTCTCGGCAAACTAGCGACGGAGAACATTAATACAAAGAAGGAAATAAAAGAAAAAATAAAAAAACTGGTGGTGTCACTTACGCCGATAATGTGACACCAATAAATGCTAGTCTTAAGAACACTACTACGCCCAGCTAACAAAAGCAAACCGATAAGTCCGACCCAGATAGGGAGGGCGAATGGCGAGTTCCCGGCGCCATAAAACGGGGAGCATATTCGTATCAAGCGTGCAGTATCGCAGGCTCGTCTTTTCCGAGTACCGCCGAATGCATCGACGTATCCAGAGCGCGAGAACGCATTATGCTAGATGTATCCAACGTTCGAAATTGCAATCATTAATTTTTGGCATTTGTCATGGTCTTATCTATTGAAGATGACCCTGATAATTACAAAAATTGAGTGTCGTTACGGAAGATTTTATTGAAATAAAAGGGCAAGAAAGAATAAATCCCTCAGAGGAGAAAGTAACAAAGATAATCACAACAAACCGGTGTAGTAGATGCGAATCTAAGGAGATCACAAAAGAGGAGGTCGAAATTACCGCAGAGGAAGGAAAGTGGGAGAGAATTGATGAGATTTGTAATGAGCGTTGGGAAACGAACGCATACTTGACAACAAGAATTGGGAAGGGCAACCCCACGACCATAGGCGGGGAAAATCTGGACATAGCGCTTCTTTTCGACCCGGACGTAATTGACCTGGGGAAAATTAAAAAGGGGATGGTGGACACCCTAAAGAATACTAGGAGGCTTGAAATCGATGGCGAAATCCTTACAAAAAAAAAACAAAAAGAGCAAACCTCCTGGCTGGGCTAGCCCCATCAGATGAAGGAAACTTTAAACTCCTTATGGAAATAAGGAACAGAATGGAACAGACCGAATCCGAAAAACTGGTGATGGTCGGCGACCCGGGGGCCATAACGGAGAAGTTGCATCCAAATTTGAAAGTATTTCTGGTTTTCCAAATGTCGTAGGTTGTATTGATGGAACTTACCAATTAAAACACCAAAAGGGGTAATAAAATCCACATATGTTAATCGAAACGATGACGCATCAGTTACTCTTCAGGGGTGCGTTCTGCAAATACGTCTTAGGGTAAGGTATTACGTCACGAAGGTGTGACGTTAATAAAATCACCTCGCAAAAATCAAAACGCTCCATTATTCTGACATGAACGACCCTGGGCGTTTTACTTGTCATTTGTTATAGTTGTCAATTTTCAACAACTATCACCTCCCTAGTGTGCAGTTTCAGAGACAACTAAAAATTCAAGTTTATCTATTTTTATTTAAGCTAATATTCTTTTTAATTTTTTAAGCAGTATTTCTGTAAAATCGGCTATGAGTTCTTCAAAAGCGGAGATAAACATAGATGATATTAATCCAGATAATTATATTTTGTGTCAACCAACAAGGTCATTAGATAATTGATAATGATAACGTGTTACTTTTAAGGAAAAAAGGTAAATAAAGCCCTTGTTTAGGTACTTAATCTGAAACTAAAGTATTTACTGCTTTTCCAGATCAGCAGATGGTATATATCCACGAAAAGATGGTTGAAAAAAACTTTAATACATTGAAGTCTCTTGATAGTCAAAATACTGTAGAACCCACATCCGATTCAGAAAATACAGAGCCTGCTAACTCCGAGGAAAGATGCACTTGAAGTTTTGAAATTAATTTCTTTATATAAAAAATATAAAGAACACTTTCAGTCAGGCACTATGAGAAATGATAAAGTTTGGCAGCTGATTGCCAATGAGTTAGCTACTCATAATGCAATTCAGTGCAAAAATAAATGGAAATATCTCAAATCAAAATATTACGAAAAAAAAGGTAATATGTCTGCTAAAGCATCAGGGACAAAAGTCATGAAATTTGACTATTTAGAAGAATTTGATGATCTTTTTAAGGATAATGCCAATGTTATTCATGTGGCTATCGCTAGCTCTAGCAATGGAATTAAAAATATAAAAGAAATAGGAAGCCTCACATCTACCGAAAATCAGAAAAAAAGAAAGAAGAGTATCTTATAAAAACAATTAGAAAGGTACGATTTAAACATGGCACAGAGGGAACAAGATACACTGGTAAAAATTTTCTGTAATATTGACAAAATAGATTTTGTTAAGGATTAACAAAAGTGTTTTTGTTGTCATAACAAAAATTTATTTACGTCAACAAAAAAGGAAATAACAAAGCACAAAATCTTAACAACATATTTGTTAAACTAACAAAACACTTTTCGTTAAGAGAACAAATTGTAATAAGGACAGATTTATTTATTAAATATTTGTAATATTAACAAAATAATTTGTCAATTATGCACCGTGCAAATTTTGTTATCTGGACAAAATTTAATGTTATAATAACACAATATTGACATAAAATTTTTGTATTTAATAAAAATATTTTTGTTTATTCTACAGAAATCTTTTAAATCTATTAACAAATAGATCTGTTTAATAAACAAAATACCACTGATAGGTTACCAAAAATTTTGTAAAAAAGCAAACATTTTTGTTAATATAAGAAAAATATTTTTTCTACGATTGTTCCGTCTCAACTACAACGTGACAACGCCGCGAAGAGTGCCATCCCCACACCGTGATGTGTAAAAACATTCGCCGACCGCCCGTTGACTGGACACTTGCATTTTGTTTTATGTTCATGTAACACGTTTTTGTAACCTCAATTTAATTTTCAATATTGTACACAATTCTTAGCAATAAAGAAGTGAAGTCGTGTATATTCATTCAGTTTTACAGTCCGCTGATTAATTAACCATTAGATCACGACTAAACATTTTGGTCCATATCGAGCGGATCACTAGAATTAGACATCTTTGATATTGGTTTAAAAACTTTCCAGAAACAGTGAAACGTGCTTGAGTTTGAGTGAAAAACAATTTGACCAAGTGGGTGAGTTCTTTCCATACTATCTTTATATTCCTTATTCCTGTGTTGAATCTAGATTGCTTTGTTTTGTTAGTAAACATAATTTTAATTTCTCATAAATTCATAATCGAAGTGTGTGGTGATTCTCTGATTTCGTATAATCATTTCAATAAGTAAATAGTGTTTTTGCAATGGCAGAAGATGATCGAGAATCATACGAAAAATTAAAACGAAAACGAGCTTCTCTCAAATCAAAATTAACTGTTTTTACTAAATTTTTAGACACTTTAGATATTAAATATAGCAATAAAACTATTACTGATTTGGCTGTTTATTTTGATTTGCAAGAAAGACTTCAGAAATTCGCCAATGTTCTAGAAGATTTTGAGGAGTTACAATTAGAAATTGAACAATTTGATTTTGTTGACGTACCATCTGAGGTACCGATCAGAGAAAAATTCAACACAGAATATTATGCTTGCATAGGGATAGGTAGAGAGTTTATCGTAGCTAGCGAGAACGCCGAAGCGTATAATGTTGACGGAGGTTCCGAAGCGGGTGCCGCCAACAGTAATGGCGCGGGGTTAGACGACCAAAGCACAAAAAATGATAGAGATAGAAGTGAAGCCCAGCCAAAGACATCCGCGGCGTTGCCACATCTAGAAAATAGTGTATCCTTTAGGGAAATTAGATTACCTGAAATAAATTTAAAGTTTTTTGACGGTTCCTTAGATTCTTGGCCGGAATTTCGCGATACATTTGAATCACTCATCAACCAACGCACTACTATAACTGATATTGAAAAGTTTCATCATCTTAGAAGTAATATTGCGCATACTGTTTTTGAACATATCGGTAGTTTAGACTATACTAGTGAAAACTATAAACATGCGTGGGCGGCTATATGCAAAAGATACAATAATTCGACTGACTTAACGCAACATCACTTAGAAAAGTTGTTTAACTTAGAGAAAATCGAAGTAGCGACGTCATCGGGAATTAGAAAAATTCTAGATAGCACCTCTAATAGATTAAAGGCGCTAAACACTTTAGGTGAGCGAACAGAACATTGGGATACCTTTATTATTTTCTTAATGCTTTCAAAACTTGACGATGATACGTGCGCGAAGTGGCAAGAAATCAAACTTAAATATGATCGACCAACTTTTACGAATTTTAGTGAATATTTAGGTAGACGCGCGGGATTATTGTTATCTATAGAAAGAAATAAAGCTGCAAAGGCTGCAGTCAGCTCTGTTACAAACAAAAAAGTCGATTTAAAACCAAAACACGAGTTCAAATCGAGCAAAATAAAATCTTTAGTAACTTCTAATGGAAATTTGAGTACAGTTTTTAATATTAGTTGCAGTTTTTGTAAGAATCAGCATTTTATTAATGATTGTCCTGAATTCAATAAGTTAGGCGTTAGTGATAGGCTTGAACGCGTTAAACAAAAGGGTCTTTTTATTAATTGTTTGAGGGTTGGACACATCATACGACAATGTAGATCGGGACCATGTAGACGTTGTAGGGGTCGTCATCATACACTTCTTCATATAGATAAAGCCCCAATTGAGGGTCCTGAAGAAAGTTCTAGCCAGCAAGTAACTAGGAACACTGAAACGGTTGTGTTATCTTCTCATTTAAACAGCCCTAGTCAAGTTATTTTATCCACTGTATTAGTTCATGTTCGCGATAAAAATGACACATTTCACAAAGCACGTGCTCTATTAGATGTTGGCTCACAAAGTAGTTTTATTTCCGTTGATCTTTGCGAGCGTTTAAATTTAGAGAAAAATAATACCACTTTACTGGTAAGTGGATTGAATGATACTTATTCTCAAATCAAATTTAAGACTAATTTAAACGTTCAATCTATTCTTAATACATTTTCATTCAACATGTCCTGTCTCGTAATTCCTCAAATAACTGGAAATTTGCCTAACTACCAAATAGAAACTAAAAACCTTCAGATACCGAGCAACATACAATTAGCGGATCCTAATTTCAATATTCCCGGTAAAATAGATATTTTGATAGGCGCTGACTACTTTTGGGAAATTATTAGTGTGGGACAAATTAAATTAGGTCCTGTGTTACAAAAAACTCGATTTGGTTGGATCGTGGCTGGTCCCATAAAATCTAATACATCTAATATCGTTCGTTGTAATTTGTCTAGAAATACCGAGATAGAAAAACAATTAGAACGTTTTTGGGATATCGAGGAGTTCCCTAACACAAAGGCTTGGTCAAACGAAGAAAAATTGGCAGAATCACATTTTATTAATACAACAAAACGTGTTAAAAACGGGCAATTTATAGTTACCATACCTCTTAAAGATAATCCCGAGGTTCTTGGGGATTCTCGTGAAACTGCACAAAAACGTTTTCTGAATTTAGAGCGAAAGTTCGGTAAAAACCCATCATTTAAAGAAAACTATCATAGATTTTTTAAAGAATACCGCGATTTAGGTCACATGATGAAAGTCACTAAACCGGATAATGCACAAACTACATACTATATGCCTCACCACGGGATAGTAAAGGATTCCAGCCTAACTACGAAGTTGAGGGTCGTATTCGATTCATCGTGTCCTTCTAGTACCGGTTATTCTTTGATCTCCAAATAGTTGGGCCGACCATACAAACAGATTTGTTTTCGATTTTATTGCTCTATAGACGGCACAATTTCGTAATTGCAGGGGACATTGAAAAAATATACCGGATGTGCAAAATAGAACCATCTCAGAGACCATTGCAAAGAATTTTGTGGCGCGATAACCCCAGTGACGAAATAGATACATACGAACTGACCACAGTAACATACGGAACGTCTTCAGCGCCATTTCTAGCCATCCGCTGCTTATATCAGTTAGGAGTCGAGTGTGCGAATGAGCAAATTTCGGAAGTCATTAAACACCACTTTTATGTTGACGATATGTTAACTGGGGGTTCCACCGTAGAGGAAACGGCTCAAATTGCAAACGACGTAGTTAGAATTTTGAAGAGTGGGGGATTTCAGTTACGCAAATTCGTGTCTAATAGCTCAGAGGTTTTAGGGCTTATAAATTCATCTAATGGTACGCAGTTCATGGATCTCGGCGTAAACGAAAACGCTAAAACCCTTGGTATAATTTGGAACGCCGTGACTGATTGCTTCTTGTATAAAATTTCGATTGAGCCAACAACTAAAGTTACAAAGCGCACGGTTCTCTCAGAAACGTCACAAATATTCGATCCTTTGGGATTTTTAAGTCCGTCCATCATATTAGCCAAATTGATTTTACGCGATATTTGGGTCGAAAAACTTAATTGGGACGAGTCTCTGTCTTCCAGTTTACACACACGATGGATTCGATTTCGCGACGGTCTTAAATCTTTCAATGAATTAGCCATACCAAGACAAATAGTTTGTTCAAATGCCATTTCAATAGAAATTCACGGTTTTTCAGACGCATCGATGGTAGCTTACGGAGCTTGTGTATATATAAAAACCGAAAATTCTGATGCTAAAACATTCATTCATTTGGTTTGTGCCAAATCTAAAGTATCACCTATAAAAACTCAAACGATCCCACGTCTGGAGCTTATTGCCGCTTTACTAATGTGCAGATTAGTTGACAAAGTAATTATTTCTTTGAAACTCCAGGTAAACCGTGTCACTTATTGGACAGATTCGACCATCGTTTTGGGTTGGATAAACACACCTGTAAACCTACTTCAGGTTTTTGTAGCTAATCGCGTTGCGGCCATTCAGGAATTAACAAGTGTTGAAAATTGGCGTCATGTACCTACCAATGAAAATCCCGCTGATTGTGTGTCTCGAGGTATCTCGCCAAGCTCGCTTAAAACTACTGACATATATTGGAACGGGCCACCGTGGCTAAAACAGTCTCACCAGTTATGGCCGACAATGCCAGAAAAACAAACGATCTTACCAGATATCAAAAAGGTTGTCGCGGTTCATAAAGCTACTATACAACACTTAGACATAATTGAAAACTTTTTTGATTTAACTAAAACTCGAAGAATTATCGCCTACTGTCTACGCTTTAAAACAAATAGTTTAAATTCCGCTAATGAACGAAAATGTGGCCCTTTGACCAGTGCGGAAATTAAAGGCGCTAACTTATGCTTAG